AACTCTTAAAACACAGGAGAAAAGCTTCAGTGACATTGGAGTTAGCAATGACTTTGTGGAAGACACCAAAGGTACAGGCAATAAAAGTAAAAATACATAAATTGGACCATATAAAAATTAAAAACTTTGTGTATTGAAGAAACAACAGAGTGAAAAAGCAAACTACATAATGGGAGAAAATATTTGCAAATCATATATCTGATATGGGATTAATATCCAGAAAATATAAAGAAATCCTAAAACTCAACAACAAAAAACAATTTTAAAATGGGCAAAGGACTTGTCTTCAAAGACGGTGTACAAATGGCCAACAAGCGTATGTTGATGCTTAACATAAATAATTAGGGAAATGTAAATAAAAACCACAGTGAGATACAACCTCACACCCATTAGGATGGCTAACGTCAAAGAAAAATAGAAAATTGTGTTAGTGAAGATATATAGAAAGTGTAACCTTTGTGCACTGTTGGTAGGAATGTAAAATGGTACAACTGCTATAAAAAACGGTATGGTACTTCCTCAAAAAATTTAAAATAGAATTACAATATGATCCAGTAATTTCATTTCAGGGTATATATCCAAAAGAACTACGAGCAGGATCTCAAAAAGTTATTTACACACACATGTTCATTGCAGCATTATTCACAACAGCCAAGAAGTGGAAGCAACCCAAGTGACTATCAAGGGATATGTGGACAAGCAAAACGTGGTACATACAATAGAGTATTATTCAGCCTTAAAAAAGATGAAAATCCTGACATGCTAAAACATAAATGAATGTTGAGAACATTATGATAAGTGAAATGAGCCTGTCTAAAAAGGCAAATACTGTACGATTTCACTTAACTGTGATATCCAGAGTAGACAAATTCATAAAAACAGAAATTAGAATAGAGGTTTCCAGGGACTGGGAGTTACTCGACACAGAGTTTCAATTTTGCAAGATAAAAAAGTTCTGGATATTGGTTGCACAGCAATATGAATATACTTAACACTACTGAACTGCACACTTAAAAATGGTTAAGATGGTAAATTTTGTCAGGTGTTTCTTACCACAATTTAAAAAAAATTTTTAATTAAAGGAATTAAAAAATTTACAAAATACCATTCATCATTGTGTTTCCAGTTTATATTCAACACAGCAGTATTTCAGGTATAGTAATTAACTGACTTTCATTTGAAAAGATGTCTATAGCTTAATAAATATCAAACTCTTATTCATATATTTGTTGATAATCTAAGAGAAACCAAACACCTAAATGGAAATGGAGTTCTCACTACTTCACCTGCCAGCCTTCAAAGCCTGTATTTCACACCATCTATTAAATGGGTACTATTTAGGTAAAGGAAAAAAAAGTAGTATTAGAACTATAACTGTATTATCTCCTAAGTTTACAAAGTAGACCTTTATGCTCAAAAATAAAATTCTTTAAAATTCTTTTCCCCAAGAATCATTAAATTTGACATTGTCTGAAAGTCACCATTTTTCAATGAGGTAAACATTCACCACAGAAACTCCTGAAAAAATTAAGCACATATTTTATCTCCTTTTAAGATATCTGTCAAGGATTGTCTTCACCAAGGGCATATAGTAGGAAAGGTGCCATTCTAACTTCTGGAACTATTTAATTAGTACTAGTATACTTCAGGTAGCGGGGGTGTGGAGTCAGGTCAGTAACAAAAATGGACTTACAGGCCAGAGTAAGATTTATTGGCTAATCTTAACTCACCTAATTTACTGAAAAAAAGACAATGTTGAAAATACTGGACTGCGCACTGTGGCTCACACCTGTAATCCTAGCACTCTGGGAGGCCAAGGCAGGCGGATCACCTGAGTTCAGGAGTTCGAGACCAGCCTGACCAGAAACTCAGTCTCCACTAAAAATTCAAAATTAACTAGACATGGTGGCTCAAGCCTGTAATCTCAGCTGCTCAGGAGGCTGAAGCACGAGAATGGCTTGAACCTGGGAGGAGGAGGCTGCGGTGAGCCGAGATCACGCCATTGTACTCCATTATCGGCAACAAGAGAGAAACTCTGTCTCAAAAAATATACATATATATATTGATGGAAAACAGGATGACCTGTAACAATATGAAAATTAACTCATCTACATATAAAACTTTAATCAGATCTCTCATTTTATACATTTCCTAATTTTAGATATTAAGGCTGGTTCAGACTTTCAGCAGCTCTCAAAGGATCAGCGTTATTTGAAACTCTGTTGAACACATGTGAAAAAATTATGTATCAAATTTATCTGCAATTATATGCAATTTAATAAAGTACTGCTATAAAGGAAAAGATTGACTAAAGGCTACGCATTGTTCCATTACTGTAGAAATATCAGTAAATGGTACTGATTATCAAAATTAAATATTTATAAGAACATCTATAGGCATGGAATTTTTTAGTAGGATATCCAAAGTGCTTGAGGAAAACATTCACTAAGAACCATTCTTTTTTCTCAGCTACTTTAACCTTACTAATGCCCTGCAAATTCTGACAGCATCCTAGCTAATAATTCAAAGATGTTTTATCTGTAGGTATGTTAACTAACAAATGCAATATAGGTTTAATAGTCTTGTAATTAGTTATGAAAAATCATATATGTGCATATATGTGGCAGAATGGTGGATATCTATATAAATATACAAACATATATATATTAACCCATAGACATTTAAGAAAGTAACTCAGAACATTAAAGTTTTTAGATATTCTATAAAATACATATGTTCTATCTTCCACCTAATCTTTTCTCATTTCCTTCAACTACTAACATTACATACAAGTAGTACTGTGAACGCCACAGATCCTAGTATAGAGCAGGAAAGGGGAAATACTTATGTAAAAACATTGAAGTTACAAAATAAAAGTATTCCACAGAAAACAGGCAGATACAAAGTACTTTTACAAAGAAGAAAACACATGAACAATATTTAGTATTAAATATTTGAGACATCCAAAATTCCTAATCATTTATCCTTTTTGTGAACAGAAAACGTGAAATATTTAAATCAGATAGTTTTATGATGAAAAAAATCTTCTGGAAGAATGTTTTCTTCCAATTAAATACTCTTTACTCAAATTATCATTTTCGTTTGAAAACAGTGGCTTATTTTAAGGCTAGTGTCATTTTTAATGTGCCAATTCAAGACATAAGCAATAATATTATGCCTTGCAATCTTTGCTGATTCATCAAAATAAGTGAGAAGCATCATCTCTCCCTGTTGTTGAATAAATCCTAACATGCAAAAACATCCCAATCTCCAGGTTTTTCTCTTGGTCAAAGTGGTAACAGCACAGGACCACCTTTCCCTCAAAGTTTTTATAAGCCTTACAGATAAGAACTAAAGTGTTCCCTGGGGGCAGATATCAACTGGGAAAAGGAAAATACAAGTTTAAATTACAAATGTCCTCAGCCTCTCCATGACAAGCAGTTTTTTGAAGGAAGCAATCTAAGAAGTATTTGTGCTAGGTAGTAGGAGGTGAATGTGTCCAAATGCCTTGACCACTTATGAAATGTGATGCAGAAAAAGAGGAAACTAATAGTTCTGCCATAACACTAACAACATGACAACCAAATCAAGGTAACCAAATAATGGCAAGTTTTAAATACCTCTTTGAACTCAAAGAGGTAAAGATGAAAACTTTAAGCAATAAGACTGTGTTGCGCTACATATCACAAAGAAATATAAGAGAGAAAGAAATCTACTATTATTTTACAGAAACAAACCAAAAAGGTCATTGCAAATATACCTAAATTACTAAAAGTTGCAAAAATAAAAGCAGCAGAGATGGGAAAAACACAAAAGTATTAATGTAGTAAGAAAGTACATATTTACCTAATTAAACGATGGAAGTTCAATTTGGTAAGCTCACTCTGAATTTCAATGTATACTTTAAATGTTCTAGGACTAAATTCAGCTATTTCCAAAGATACTTAAGCACTGAAGTTATCCCTAAGGAGCTTAAAATTTCCTAAAACAGAAACAAGTTCATTTCCTTCAATAGGAAGCAAATAAACGTTGTAGTCACAGAAAGAATTTCCCTGAAATGGATGAAACTCACAAAACTAGGGACTGTGGGACTTGGGAAAAGAACACAACATATACCCAATATATAATTATAGGAATAGTGCTTTTCACTACAACGTAAGAATTGAGCTCCTTGGAAATAATATTCCTTTGTTACATGTAACATTATATGTTGTTCAGTATCTATTTCCAGGGCAAAGATATCATAAAATGTTACAATGGACCACCTTGCATTATTCCTTAGTGAATTGTTGTTGATTTAAAGCTCCTCTCACCCTCAAATAGATGAAAGTAAGTGAAATAAAAGGACCTGTGGGGGTTAAGAAACGAAGGGTTCTTTCATATTTTCCAGCAGTCTTTTTTGCAAAGGGTTTGGAGTTTAAATTAAAACTGTGGGCCTGAAATTTAATTCAGAATTCTTCCTGCAATAGTTAACTGTGTATGCTTCAAAAGGAGAAAACTTAATGTTCTCAGCCAGTGACCGTATTCCAGTGAAAATCTTCTTACCTTTCAGAATAGTTATACAGCATGATCACATTAAACCCTGATGCAACAAACAGATTAATTTCCTCTAACATCTTTACTAATATAGAAATGAAGACTACTAACTAGTGTCTGTAAGTCACTACAATAGTTGCACACACAACTTGAATGTGGTGAGGTACGATGCTTTCCCTTTTAGGTCTTTAGTGAACTTTCAAGGGATTAAAATCAATGTATGTCAAATTTTTAGCAAAAGATTCAGATTCTAATCCTAAATACAAATGTATTTTAAAAGGGGAAAAAATGAGGGATGTAAAATATATATAGTAGGGTAAGAGTTTTGCCTTTGAACAATGTGCATATTCTATTTTAATCTGGAATGTTTTATATGTGCATTTCATGTTATGTAGTTTTTGGATTGGACTGTTTTTCCACAAAATGAAAAATCAACTATTTTGCCACCTTATTATTCAACCTACCTGCCCATAGTTGTCTATGCCAGTTACTAATCTATTTAAATTTAATAAATCAAAAGCTGTCCTTAGGGATTGGCCAAGAGTCGTAAGTCCTTCAGCCTGAAGGTTTTTCAGTTCATTCATAAACGTTGCATGGTTTTCTTTCCATCCAGCCTGAAAAGAAAAATGTAAGTTTTTTTTTTTTTTTCATTTTTTAAAGCCATGTACACACAGCCGTTATAATCTGACAGTCACCAAGTAGCAGCTTCACTTTTGGTTGGTTTGGCTTGGTTAACGTGTTAATACTGTACCACTGCTGAGGAAACTCTCCTCGAAAGGTGGCCCAGGAATAAACCTGCTTCCTCTCTAGGTTTTGGTAGTTAACAACCTTAATACTTTATAACTTCACTGACAAATTTACTACCTAATCTAATACCCAAAATTTGGGTATGTGAACGTACTAGTGGAAGCAGATGGGAGCCAGACTTAGGAAGTTAACCTGCAGCTGTCCCACCGGCCCTCTTAGGACGAATTTGACAAGACCAATCCTGGCAGCCCCGTATTTGGCTCCCGTGCCGGCCGGGCCGATTCCCCTTTAATGCAAACCGGGGCTGTGCGCGGCCGGGCCCGGCTGTCACTCCGGCTAACTTGAATAAATATCCCCCACAGTTCATTGCTGCCGCTCACGCCGCGGAGGGGAAATGTCGGCCATGTTGATCGCAGCGCCGCCGCCGCCGCCGCCGCAGCCGCCGGGCCGGGCCGGGAGGGGACGGCGGTGGCCCCGCGACTCCGCGCCGCGCTAGGACGCTGCCGAGCGGGGGAGGGGGTGGGAGCCCGCAGGGAAGAGACCTCAGCGGCTGGGAGCGCAGCGGGTGGGGGAGGGGAGCATAATGAAGGGTGAATGGGGGGGCGGGGAGGGCGAGCGAGGAAGGAACAGGGAAGGGAAGGGAGGAAAGGGGGAGGGCGAGGGCTGTTACCTTGATAGCATAGGGCGGCTCTTCGAAAGTGACCAGCATATACCTGTCTCCTCTGCTGGCAGGGTCCCGGGCACGGAGCTGCGGGACGGGAGGAGGAACAGGGCGGGCGAGAGGGAAGCACAGAGGCGAGGTTACGAGGCGGAGAAGGGGCGCCCAGCGGCCCCGCCGCCCCCACAGTACCGCACACGCAGCGGCCACCCCTCCACGCCGCCCCCAACACACAGATCGCTCCCCACACACCGCCCGGGGCCGGAACCCGGGCCCCGGCCGAGCCCGGCTCGCAGCTCCCGCCCGCCCGCGCGGTGGGGGAGGGGGTCCCCGAGCCCGGCAGCTCCCGCAGTCAGGTCCCCGACACCCCCGCCCTGGCCGCCCTCCCCCACCCTGCCGCCCGCGGGCCGCCGGGCCGGGGTCGCCGCCCGGACTCGGTCAGTCGGTACCTTCATGAAGGTCTCTACCGCGCCTTTGGCCGTGTCCAGGTAGGTGGTGCCCAGATGGCTGCGCTGGTTCATAGAGGCAGACGTGTCTATCAGGAACAGTAAGATGGGCATAGTGCTGGCCGGGGACACCGGGGCCCGAGGTGGTGGAGAAAGAGGAGATGGTAGAGGTGGAGGCGCCGGTGGCGGCGACCGCCGCTACGCGGGGCGGGGGTGCGCGGCCCCCGGGAGGAAAACACCGTCTGGGTCTTTCCTCCGGCTGCGGGGAGTTTCTCCCCCGATAGTTGAGAGGAAACTCCCCAGACCCAGTCCTCCCCGTCGTACCCCCGCCTCCGCCTCCTCCTGCCTGCCTGCCCGCTGGGGCGGGCGCCCAGCCGTCTGTCTGTCGGTCCGTCCCCCCCGCCTCGGGGGTCCCGTCCCCGCTCCCGGCCCCTGTGTGTGTCCCAGCGGGAGACGGGCCTGGCTCCCCACCCCACCCCCGGTACAGGGAGTGGGGACCTGGGAGCTGGCGAAGAGGGGAGTGGGCTGAGGGGAGATTGGCCCTGGGGCTGTTGGGAGAAGTTTCAGGGACTCCCTCCGCACCCCAGCAGTGTCACCACTTTCTCAGCCCCTCTCGCTACTGAAGCGCTTTTCTCTCTCACACTCCGGTTTTAACTCGGGCAGGGGCTGCGGAGGCTCCGCCCCTGACACGTCCCCGAGCCACGTGATACATCGCCTCGCCGTTCTATTGGCTAGTCCCTGCCCTCTCATTAGCATATTTAAACAGCTCAGGGGCGGGGGAAGCTTGCAGGCCGGCTCCGGGGACAGTTATTGAGCACGCGCGGAGGCGGGGCGTCGGGTGCGCGCGAGCGGGCGGGCGGGCCGACCCGGAGGCGGGCTTCGGGAAGGGGCGGGGCCGAACCGCGGAAGAACCGCGAGGTGGGGGCGGGGGACGCGTCCGCGCGCGCGCCGGCCGCGACGGTGAGCCTGCGCGTCAGGGCCGCCGGCCTCTCTTTGGCTGCTGGAGGTGATTGGGGTCGAGAGAAGGGAAAAAGGGGCTGGCGTCAGCCGCCCCCTCTGAGGTGGCTGTATTGTGGACGAGTAAGAAGGGCTGAGTAAAGTGGACAAACACCTGGTTAGGAGAAGAGGACAGGTCCGCAGCCGCCCTCCCGAGGACTCGGGGCCTCGCGGGCGCTGGAGGAGGTTCCTGGGCCTCGTAGGGCCGCCCCGGCGCGGGCGGGCGCGGGCGGGCGCGGGGGAGGGGAAGTGAGAGGTTGTTTATGACCGGGGACTAATCTCCTCTGCGAGTCACAGAGCTCCCTCTGGGGAGTGCGGTTGAGGGGCTGTCCTCGCCCGGAGCCTCGCTCGTCCTCGGGGGAGCGACGAGAGGTGGAAGTTGGACCCGCAGCGGGCCATGAACTCTGTCGTTGGAGGACCCGCCAAAAAGGAAGCAAACCTTCTTTTTCTTTATCCAGCCCCAAATAGGGCCTAGGGGACGATTCACATATCGATAAATGGTTTGTTGCCCGTTTTATTCTCTGGGAAATACAACTGATCCTACCAGAGAAATACCTGTCTCATGCCGTGTTTACCTAGAGCCATAGAATACCTGTTTCAGAGCTAAAGCGGACCTGAGCCCATCATAATCCATTACCTCGTGTGAAAGCGGAAAAACTGACTTCAGCTTGTCCAGATGGCGCAGAGCATGGGTTTCCCGTAACCCCGCCTGTGTCTTTCCTTCAGCCTCGTCCCAAATGCCGTGGGATGGAAGGCATTCTCTGTCAAGCTGCTGTCACCTTACCTGAAGTAAGGAGTCCACGCCTGCATGTCCAAGGAAAACAGTTTTCTCAAACACATTGGTTGAAAAACTGAAGAAACTGCCTTAAATACAAGCTGAGTTAGAGACAGCACTTGTAAGACTAGGTAGGTATTTATAGGGCCTCTCCCACTAGTCCTGTTTTTCCAGAGTTTGTTCTTTATCTGGAAATTCTTAGTTTGTCTACTGATGTTTAAAGAAAAGGTTCTATTAACATTGACACAGAAGAGACACTTTGTGGCACTTTTAAAAAATCTGAGTTTCGTGACTTGGAGTTTTAACTTTAAGATAACTTCTGAAACTTACTGTTAATTTATAGCAGAGCTATTTGAGTAATATACTCTTCTATAAGAGTATGGACAATAGAAGAAGTGTGATATTTTAAAGAGATTTGGACTACAAAATAAGAGTATGGAATATAGGTTTTACAGCCAATACTTCCTGAGGACGTACTGTGTATTAGGTGTGGTGTATATAAAAAATAAATAAAATGTGGTCCCTGTATTCAAAGAGCTTATGTTTTCTAGGAAAATACTAGATATTACTAGCTACTCCAACGCAGAAAGTTGTTAGACACCAAATCAGAAAAAATAAAAATGTATCGACTTGGTGTGATGCAGGAACATTTTCCAAGGTCGGTATGTTTCCGCTTTGCCTTAAAGTAGTGTTTCTTAAACAGATCATAGATCTGAAGATAAGAATCAGAGTTCTATGGCAAAATACAAGTTATTTTACCAATTATAAAGATAAAATTTTTCTTTCAACGTGATCATTTGCATAATTTTATACAATTGGTCTTTAGTTCTTTATATTTGTGCTTTTCAAACTGGTCTGTGGTCCCCAGCCTACTGAAAACATTCTCCAGGATCATAAGAATTTATTTTAGGAGGCTGTACATTATACAGGTTTAAGAAACACTGTCTTAAAGGACTGGTAGGATTTGGATACGGGTAAAGGAAGGGGAAGCTGCTAGTGAAAAGATCTTCCCGACATTGAAAATGTGAAGAAAGGAAGTTAGGACAGCATTACCGAGGGCTTCCTGAGGAACAGTGAAGTTACAGCTAGGTTGGAGCATCACGTACATATAGAATAGTACAAGATCTAGAAACACAGGTGAGATCTAGACAGTAGAGGGCCTTTATTCCAATCTAAGGAGGTTTTTTTCCCTTATGAATTGGAGATTTATTTTTCAGTTGGGTTGCTAAGTACAAAGCAATGTTTGAAAGGAATCAAACTAGACTACTGAAGATTAACATGCATTCACAATTACCTTACCTATTATTACAGTTATTCGAAATCATTTTTCAGTGGAGTCATTGTCACAGGATCCTTGGAGTGTCACTTTTCCAGCTGGAAAAATGTCACCTTTGCCCGAGTTTTGGTCAGGCCTGCTGGGCTCATTCTGCCCCCAGGCCCAGCAGGCTGCGCCCTGCTCATACTCCTGGCCTGGATCCCACACCTGCCAAGTGGAAGCCAGGTGCGAAGCAGAGAGGGGTGTGTGAGCAAGCAAGCATGGGGTCCAGCCACTGCACACAGCTAGGCATGCCAGCTGCAACAGGGCAGGCAGCTCCAGGGGCTGGCTCCCTGCAAGGCTGTGGCTGGACCAGGTATACTGCAAGCAGCTTCCACAGCTGGCGCCAGGGAATGCAGTGGCACCTGGAAGCTTGGAGATGCCAGGAGCCACAGAACCCCAAAGAGGGTGTCACAGGGAGCTCCTAGGTCTGGGCTCCCCCAAGGACCACAGCTCTTCTCTCCTCTCTTCTGTCCTCTCTTTTCTCTCCTCTCTTCTCTCTTTCTTATGTTGCCCGCAACATGGCAAGCAAGGGGCATATTTCAGCCCTGTTTCTGTTACACCTCTTTCAGCCATGCCATTTCGCAGGTCCCGAGTTCTTGTCCCACATCCAGGAAGAATGAAGTATGCGGACAAGTGGAGGGTGAGCAAAGCAAAGAGGTGCTTTGTTGAGCAGCAGAACAGCTCAGAGGAGACCTGAGGGTAATAGGTAGCTTCCTTCTGCAGGCAGGTCATCCCAATAAGTGTCCAGCTCTCAACAGAGAGGAGACCCACAGTGGGTAGCTCCTGTCTGCAAGCAGGTCATCCCATTGTCTGTCCAAGTCTGGCTCAGTCCCAGGGTTTTTATGGACTTCTGAGAGGAAGAAGTGTGTGCTGATTGGTCCATGGGTAACCATGGGCAGGCCTGGAGAAAGCACCATAAGTTCTCACTGATTTGCATGAAACTGGCAACCTGGGCCCTGGCCTTACTGGGGATCTGCCCCTTTCCGCCCAGGAGCCTGTTTGGCTCCTGCTGCCATTAACCTGCCATCCACGGTGCCCATGGCGCCCAGGTTGTTCATGCTGAGTGGTACCTACAGGCCCGCACTGAGCTGCCCTTATTCCCCCCTCGGCCTGCCTCCCTCCTGTGCTCATCAGTGCCCAAAGTCCAGAGGGGACCGAGACAGCAGGGGGTTGCGTGTCAATGCTGCCCCAAGCACATACACACCTGGACAGGTCGCGACAGCAGCCAGGCTCGGTCACAACTTTGCTCTGAAATCAGAGTGGGTGCTGGGAGCAGGGAGAGGCCAGGCAGTGGGAGCAGGCACTTCCAAGCCGGCGGGAGCAGGGAGCTTCCTGGTCCCTGAGAGTGCGGAGATGAATGGATCCACTGCCATGACTGGGTGGCTACAGCTGCACCCAGGAGGGCAGGACTCCCACTCTTCCAACTTGGAAGGGGGCAGGGCTTCTGCCTGTTCCCAGCTCTTGCTGGCTCCATGGAGCACCGCGGCCCTAGCCATGCCTCCTGGATTGTAGCCAGCGTCAGGGCAGCAGCCACTTCAGACGGGCCACTGCCATCATCACCATCATGGCTCTTTCTTCCCTGACTCTATGGTGTTAGCAGGTTGTCATACTAGAGTCATAAGTGAAAGTATGTAGTAGAGATAGGGTTAGACGCAAAGGTAAGGAAAGCCAAGTTCAGTGAGCCAGCCACAACCAGAACCTATGCTTATGATGATGACTTCTGAGATCAAAGATTACATGTCCAGTTCAGAAGTCCAGACGTAGTGGAAGGTGAGGCACTGAGGCAGAATAGGGAAGAAATGAGGACATACCTAGGCAGCAGTCAAAAACCAGGAAGCATTGACAAGCCATCCCTAGACAAAGTTGTGAAATAAGCCAAGTTTATTATTAGTGACTCTGGTTGACTGTTTAGCTGTTGGTGTATGGTGGCTTAAAGCAGTGGTTATTAGCCAAGAAATGCACATCAGCATCACCCATAAGGCTTAAAAAAATAATGTACCAAGTGCCCATCCCCAGAGGAAAGGAATTCAGTATATTTCAGATAGGCTTTGATCATTTCTTTTTTTTTTCTTTAAAGTTTTTCAGGTGAATCTTATACATAATTCTGATTAGGAACCATATGCTTAATGTATAAGAATAATGTATGTACCTGGCATCTAGTAGTACTCAGTAAATAACTTTAAAAATTCACAAAACCTTAGAGTTAACTGCATTTTTAAATAGAATTCCTAAAATAAATCTGCACAGTAGAGGGGGAAAAAAATACCCTGATCACCAATATATTTAACAATGGAGTTGTATCATATGCATATTTATGAATTCAACTATGTTTGGTGAAAAAGGAAAAACCAAGTACTGCTGGAGATTCCCACTCTTCCCTCAGTGAGCTTAGGTCCTGGAGTGAGCAAAAGATGAAAAACATGAATCTCTTCTTCAGTCAACTTCTATCTGTGATTCTAGAAAGCTGCTGGTTATATTCAGCCTCATTTTTCTAAAATATGGCCTCCAAATGCAAGACAAGTATTTCACCAGACTCACCTGAAGAAACAGTGAGCTCTTGCAGTGGTAGAGAGAAAACTAGTTAGAGTAGTCTGTGCTACACCTTGTAATGTTGCAGTCTAAAGAATTAGGGAAGATTTTTCTGAGAGGGCAATGGTCAGAATAGGTGTATTGGAGAAAACTTCCTCTTTGCTACTGTTTTTAAAGGAATGTTTTCTTAATGCTCTTGCTTCAATTTAAAAGGGAAAAATAAATTATATGAAAACCTTTGAAAGAATGGTGACCCTGGCTTAAATAATAACCTAAATTGTTGGAACGAAGCTATTCTAACAGAATTAAAACTGATGAATTAGATTCATTTGTAAGAGCCAACTAGAGCCCTTTTAAATTATTTTAAACCAATTAAGCAGGGTAACACAGTTTAAAAATAATTATGTGCCAATGACTTGGTTTATGGTATCCAAATGTGCCATCTGAGCAGAATAATCAGATGAACTTAGTGTTCCTCATATGTAACCTAACAGAGTTTCTTTTGGCTGTCTTACTATTTCCTCAGTGTTCTGCTATACTACTCTCTTTGAGATCACATTAGTCAATGATATGGAGAGGTTGAGAACATCAAATAACATATAAAAGTTTTAAGCATAAAAAAATTAGATGTGAAACTATCCAGCCAATGTAATCAGTTAATACATATCTAAGAAAATTTAATTTTGGTCATACTAATGTTATATCAGCCCTCAAAAGAAAATGCTAGTAGAGATGACTATTAAGAAGAAATTAGATCTTTCCAATGAGTGGTGTTTTGCAGTAATAGTTGAAGTCTCAGACAATTCAAGATCAGCCCTGAAAATGGATATATCCAGATTGACAATTAGAATCTAAGTGGAACAGCAGAAGAACATAAACATTGCAGTCATTCTTTCAACCAGTATTAATTCCACACCTAATATGTGATAGCCACAGTGGTAGGTCCTCAGACAATTTATAATCTAGTGGAAAGACAAGACAGATAAACAGAATGAGAATACAATATTATGTCAGCAGACCCCAGGCATAAAATAAGATGACTTATAAGGTTCGTTTGACAGTTCGAGGTAACATACCGTATTTTATCAATTTTAAGATCATGAGTTGTAACAAACACCATTATTTTTGGACGATGGAGGGGGCCATAGGGAAATGCTGCTACTTAAACTATGACACAGTGGTTTTTTATCATATAGAATTTTTCCACATTGTATTGAGTTCTGCTAAGAGCATTAGTGATGCAACATTTTTAAAAATAATATTCCACTATTATCTTTGGTATTTTTTTGCAAACTGTTGGGGTCCAACAGTTTTTGTTGCAAACTGTTGGAGTTTTAATGCTGGTGCTTTCTTATTCCAACTCGAAGGTATCAATGAAGAGTTTTCAGATCACAACCAGGATTTAAATCCTTTCTGTCACTTTTTTTTTTTTTTTTTTTTTTTTTGAGATGGAGTCTCGCTCTGTTGCCCAGGCTGGAGTGCAGTGGCGCGATCTCCGCTCACTGCAAGCTCCGCCCCCTGGTTCTTACCATTCTCCTGCCCCAGCCTCCAGAGTAGCTGGGACTACAGGCGCCTGCCACCACGCCCGACTAATTTTTTTTTGTATTTTTAGTAGAGATAGGGTTTCACTGTGTTCACTAGGATGGTCTCGATCTCTTGACCTCGTGATCCGCTCTCCTTGGTCTCCCAAAGTGCTGGAATTACAGGCGTTAGCCACCGCGCCCGGCTAAATCCTTTTTTAAATGATTAGTTGACTGAAATCTCAAGAGTTTGCAGTTGTCTAGTCATGCCACCAGGAATAACCAGGAAATTTACACATGTTCAGGCTAAGACAACTACATCACAACTGCCTTCTGGTGACAACATTGTAAGATGCCATGATTGTAAGATGCCATTCCAATTTTAGAAATATTGGAAAGAAATGTACATCTTAGATTTGGCAAAATATCGTTTATTGCTGGCAGTTATTAAAATATGTGTTATTAGGAGAATGTACAAAGAGCTCTGTGAGCACTGAGGATAGAGCACCTAACTCTCACAAAGGAAGTGATATTTGAGCAGTCAAGTCATGAGGATGCATGAGTGGGTAAGAAGGGGCAGTTTAGAGCTTCAACTACATGTGTGGGAGAGTGGTAGGACTGGATGCTGGGCCATGTCAAGAAGGGTTTCATGTGCTCAACTAAGAAATTTTGAATCTTATTATTGGGGTGATAGATAAAGTTTTGGGATCAGGGAGTGACCCTGATGATATAATTTGGCTATATCAAATCTCATGTGAAATCTGATCCCCAGTATTGATGGTGGGGTCTGGTGGAGGTGATTGCATCATGGGGACAAGTCCCTCATGAATGGCTCGGTGCTATTGTCTGAGGGTTGAGTGAATTCTCACTCTTTGTTTCTGCAAGATCTGGTTACTAAAAAGAGCCTGGGACTTTTCTCCCATTTCCCTCTTGCTTCCTCTCTCGTCATGTGACACACCACTCTCCTTCCCCTTCCATCATCATTGGAAGCTTCCAAAAGCAGAGGCTCACTCTTTCCTTGCCTAATGCAGCTGTGGCTTGTGGTCCCAAGAAGCATCTGAAGCGGGTAGCAACTCCAAAGCATTGGATGCTGGATAAATTGACCAGTATGTTTGCTCCTTGTCCATCCACCTGTCCCCACAAGTTGAGAGAGTGTCTCCCCCTCATCATTTTCCTAAGGAATAGACTTACGTATGCCCTGACAGGAGATGAAGTAAAATTTGCATGCAGTGGTTTATTAAAATTGAAGGCAAGGTCTGAACTGATATAACCTACCCTGCTGGATTCACAGATGTCATCAGCATTGACAAGACAGAAAAGGATTTCCGTCTGATCTATGACACCAAGAGTCGCTTTGCTGTACATCATATTACACCTGAGGAGGCCAAGTACAAGTTGTGCAAAGTGAGAAAAATCTTTGTGGGCACAAAAGGAATCCCTCATCTGGTGACTCATGATGGTCACACCATCCGCCACCCTGATCCTCTCATCAAGGTGAATGATACCATTCAGATTGATTTGGAGACTGGCAAGATTACTGATTTCATCAAATTTGACACTGGTCACCTGTGTATGGTGACTGGCGATGCTAACCTGGGAAGAATTAGTGTGATTACCAACAGAGAGAGGCACCCTGGATCTTTTGACATGGTTCACATGAAAGATACCAATGGCAACAGCTTTACCACTTGACTTTCCAAGATTTTTGTTATTGGCAAGGGTGCCAAACTATGGATTTCTCTTCCCTGAGGAAAGGGTGTCCACCTCACCATTGCTGAAGAGAGAGACAAAAGACTGCCAAACAGAGCAGTGGGTGAATTGGTCCCAGGGTGACATGTTAGATCTTTGTATGTAATTAAAAATGTGGCATGATTAATAGAAAAAAAAAAATCAGAGGCTCATGCCATGCATGCATCTTGTACAGCCTGCAGAACCATGCACCAAATAAACCTCTTTTCTTTTTTTTTTTTTTGATTCAGAGTCTCGCTCTGTCACCCAGGCTGAAGTGCAATGGCACTATCTTGGCTCACTGCAACCTCTGCCTCCCAGGTTCAAGTGATTCTCCTGCCTCAGCCTCCCAGGTAGCTGAGATTATGGGCATCTGCCACCACGCCCAGCTAATGTTGTATTTTTAGTAGAGATGGGGTTTCACTATGTTGGCCGGGCTGGTCTCGAACTCCTGACCTCAGGTGATCTGCCTACCTCAGCCTCCCAAAGTGCTGGGATTATAGGCGTGAGCCACAGTGCCCGGTGTAAACCTTTTTTCTTTATAAATTACCCAGCCTTGGGTATTCTTTTATAGCAATGCAAAACACACCCAATAATCAGATTCTTATTTTAGAAAGATAAATTCAGCAGTGATTTGGAGAATGGATTAGAATGAGAAGACAATGGGTAAGGAGACTAGTTAGACAATTTCTTTCTTTTTTTTTTTTTTTTTTTAGGTGGAATCTCACTCTGTAGCCTAGCCTGGAGTGCAGTGGCACAATCTCTGCTCACTACAACCTCCGCCTCTCAGGTTCAAGCAATTCTCGTACCTCAGCCTTCCAAGTAGCTGGGATTACAGGCATGCACCACCACACTCAGCTAATTTTTGTGTTTTTAGTAAAGCCAGGGTTTTGCCATGTTGCCCAGGCTGGTCTCAAACTCCTTGACTCGAGAGACCCACCCTCAGCCTCTCAAAGTGCTGGGATTACAGCCATGAGCCCCTGCGCCCAGTTGACAATTTCTGCATTAATCCACAGAACACATTAAAGCACTTAGGAAGTGGCAGCAGGGAAGGTGAGAAGAGGATTGTCAAAGACATTGTGATGACAGAATGGACAGGACTTGGTGAACTGAGTTGATGCAAGCAGAATCATGATATTGTGTGATTAAAGTCATCTTGTGTCATGTAAGGTGAATATCATCAAGCTACTGATAACTATATTCTAATAAGATGTATAACTCATTTCTAAAGGACAAATGGTGTTTATTCAGTCATTTGCTTAACAAATATTTATTGACTGTCTCCTATGTGTAGGAGCTGGGAATGTAGCAATGAATAAAACGGGAAATAATGCCTGTCCTTATGAAGTCTACATTCTGGTGAGAAAGATAGACAAATAAGTATAATATGTGGTATATTCACATTAAGTGTTAAAAAGGAAGAATAAAGCAGGGAAAGGAAATGAAGTGCTACAGAAGGAGGAGGTTTGGAGTTTAAGACATGGAGAACAGGGAAAGGTGTCACTGAGGGTGTCAATGATGTTTCAGTAGAGACTGGACAGAGCTGTGCAGATACCTAAGGAAAACCCAATTTTATCTATTTATTTTACTGAAGTGCTGTAGTCTGAATGTTTGTGTCCCATCAAAATTCATATGTTCAAATCCTGACCCCCAAGGTGATGATATTAAGAGGCAGGACTTTTGAAAGGTGATTAGGCAGAGACCTCATGAATGAGATTAGTGCCTTTATAAAAGAGGCCTGGGGGAGCTCATTCACCTCACGTGAGGACAGAGCAAGAAGGCACCATCTACAAACCAGGTCCTCACCAGACAGTAAATCTGCCGGCACCTTGATCTTGGACTTCATAGTCTCCACAAGTATGATAAATTTGTTTTTATAAACAATCTGGTTTATGGTTTGTTCGTTTTGTTTTGTTTTCGTCAGAGTCTCGCTCTGTCGTCCAGGCCAGAGTGCAGTGGCACAATCTTGGCTCACTGCAACCTCCACCTCCCAGGTTCAAGCAGTTCTCTTGCCTCAGCCTCCCAAGTAGCTAGAATTACAGGTGCCTGCCATGACGCCCAGCTAATTTTCTCATATTTTTAGTAAAGACGGGATTTCACCATGTTGGCCAGGCTGATTTCGAACTCCTGACCTCAAGTGATCCACCCGCCTCGACCTCCCAAAGTGCTAGGATTACTGGCGTGAGCCACTGTGCCCGCCAGTTTTATGGTATTTTGTAATTGCAGCCTAAACTGACTAAGACATGAACTTTAGTTAAACATTTGCAGTTTGCTATGCTGATATTAAATTATTATCTGTTGGTAAATATTATTTGCTGATACTTAATAAGTATTCTTAGTAATAACAAATATTAATATGTATCCCTCACTAATGCTTAATACAAATCCTTACTAATAGCAGTATTAGTATTAATTAGTATTAATCAGTATTCTTTGCTAATAAGGGTTCTGATTGACAGAAAATCAATTATTCATTAAATGTTATTGAGATACTTCTTGATCTTATTTATAGTAGTCAGGTACTGTTTTAGATTCTGGGGATTCAGTCGTAACTGAGATAGATGGAATCACCACCCTCATAGGGTTGCCAGAGAAAACACAGGACTCAACTGAATTGGTATTTCAGATAAAAACACATAATTTTTTAGTATAAATATGTTTATGTGATACTTATACTAAACATACTGTGTGATATTTGGAATATACTTATACTAAAATGTATACCAAATGTGTTGATAATCTGAAATTCAAATTTGACTGGGCTTCCTGTGTTTTTATTTGCTGAGTCTGGCAATTCTATGCCCTCACTACACTTACAACCTAACATGCTGGAAGCAGAGATTTGTAAATACAAATAGCATACAGTGGACAATGCTGTATAACCTGGGAAGCCATAAATTAGAAGGCACTGGGACCCTAAATATGTGGAGAAAAACTGTCAGCCAACCAGGAACATCCACCCTTAAAGCAAGAAATAAACTTCTGTTGTATGTGAGTCATTATGTTTTGGATCCATTTGTGCCATAGTCTATTTGTTATGCCAGCTTAACTAACATAACCTAACTAACATAATGTGTCCTGAAATCTACCATTTCCAAATTTACTACAGAATCAAAAATTTTAATATAATGTATCAACAGAAAATAAAATATATATAAATAAAGGCAACAGGAAGATGGGCCAAAACCTAAAAATGCTTATACTGCAGTCATCATTCTATTAATAATATAGCTTTAAACCTTAAATATTTCCAAAATGGTCAAGAGGGACATCAGATCATTTTAGGAAAATTATGTAACTTGATGGCTTCCTTAAGTAACTAATACTACACATTTATACATTATTCCTGGCTATTAAAACATTTTCTTTCAGCTAATTATTGAATGTAGAGATAGGTTTTATAGGCTCTAAAATTGTAAATAAGACATGGTTTTTGCCTTCAGAAAGTATATGGCCTAATAGAGGAAATAAAGATACAAAACACTAGCAGAATATGATCAGTGCCAAAAGATATGTGCAAATTGTATCTCTAACTGGAGTGAGAAATTCATTCAGATTAGAGGGGATTAAAAAGAAAATGAATGAGGAAACATTTTTTTCCTCAAAGCTTTACAATTTTCTGTCTTTTTTGAATTTAAAAGAACTTATTGTCAAGCATTTGCAAATACAAATATAAGAGAGAAAAACAAATATCACTTCTAATCTCACTACCCAGAGATAGCCACTAATAACATTTTTGTATATATTCCCTCCTCTATGTTTTAAATAAAAGTGGGTTTTTATTATATATTCTTTTTTTCCTGTTTTTTCCACAGCATAAGGTGAGCATTTTTCATATCATTAAATAATTTGTAAAATTATGACTTTTCATAAGTGCATAATTTATCCCATAGATATATTGTGATTTATTTTCCTCTTATGACAAGACATTTTGTTAATTTCTAAATGTTTTAGTTTTATAAATAACACTGCATTGGACAGCTCTATACATAGATATTTGTAATAATTCAACTGCTATTTTTTTAACACTATTTACTGCTTTGCATGTTGGAGATACATTAGTGAACAAACAGTCCAAAGTCCCTGACCTCATGGGGAGGAGGAAAGAGAGACAATAAGGACGTAAACTATAAATTACATCAAATAGTGATTAGTACTCTGGAGAAAACTAAATCAGGGATGGGGAATAAGAAGTGATGATATAGGGGCCTTGGGATTATAGTTTTAAATAGGATGGTCAGGAAAGAAAGAGAAAATGACATTTGATCAAATACCTGAAGGTGGTGAGGCAGCAAACCAGGTGGATATTGGAGAAAAACATTCTAGGCAAAGAGAAGCATGTAAAGACCCTGAGTTTGGAGTGGATCTAGCATATTTAAGGAACAGCAGCAGCAAGGAGGCCAGAATAGCTGACGCGGAGTTCATAGGAAAGCTGTAGGAGGTGAAGAAGTCCAAGAGGACCTTCTGATGCTAAGTGGAATTTGGCCTCTATGCCCAGAGATAGGAGAGCATTGGAGGGTTGTGCACAGAGGGCTATCTGATCATTTTGGCTATTCTGTGAGAGTAGACTATAGAGGGTAGAAACGGAACAGTCAGGAGGTTATTGCTGTAATCCAGGTGGGCAATGATGTTGGCTTTTGGACAGTGGGGATAACAGTAAAGGTGGTGAGAAATGGGTTTTTATTGGCTTAGTGTGGGGTTTGAGAGAAAGGAGTCAGGGATGACTTAAGGCATCTCCAATTAGTTCCTTAGGATGAATGTCAAGAATGGGAATTTATTAATGGGTTTTTAGAGCTCTTTATACATATGGCCAGATTGTTCACCTGCAAAGTTAAGTCAGTTTATATGTGCAGTATTCTCCATGGAAAAACAGTTTACAAAAGTTTTTGAGAGAAACTGTTTCAGCTAGAATTTTTTAATAGCTTTGCAAATTACATAAGCCTGCATAGAGAATTATTAGAGATCTGAACCATTCACTTAAAGCTTGCATGTATATGTTACAACATTTTAACCAGGAAAATCTTTCTGATAGAGATAGCCAAAATCTAGGCGATTCCCTTTTGAGCCTATACTATTGAAATAACTAAAACATGGAGTGGAATTTGATAAATGCCAAAAAAAAAAAAAAAAAAAAAAAGAGTTCAAAATACTATAAGGAACGTTTACTGAAGGAAAAAGGACAAGAAAGAGGAACTTTAAAAATTAGCAGAGAAGACGGTATGGAACAAGGGACCTGACTTGTCAAAGCAAAAAGAAAAGAATAATTTCTCTTTTGCTCTTAGAAAAGCAAGTAGGTTTATTAAAAAAAATTACCAAAACATCAAATGAAGCAAAGACTAAGACTGTTAGATTGAGAAAGCCATTGTTGACTTTTATAAGTCTTTTTAATGGAATATAGATACAGAAGAAATAAGGTAAATTAGATCACTAGGAGTTTTAGTGAATGGAGTCAGAGAATATATAACTTCTCTTTTTGCACAAGAAAAGATGAAGGAAAAACTTGAATACGTTTTTAGGTAGAAAAAGAGCAAGGAAAAACTGAGGCTGTGAGAAAGGTATAATTGGTATGGCAGCTCTCTGGAGCAGGAGAGAACAGGGTCAGCTTCATAGGTGGGGCCATTAGGATGTGAAAGATGGAGCAATGACTTCTCTGAGACCAGAAATAATGACAAGAATACGAGCAAAGTAACTAGCACAATTCCCAGTGTGATGGTTAATTTTATGTGTCGACTTGACTGGATCACAGGATACCCAGATATTTGCTCAAACATTATTCTTGGTGTGTCTATGAGGGTGTTTCTGGATGAGATTAACATTTGAATCTGTAGACTAAGTAAAGCAAACTGCCATTCCTAATGTGGGTGGACCTCATGCAATCAGTTGAGGGCTAAATAGAACAAAAAGGCTAAGTAAGAGAGAGTTCTTTCTGCCTGACTGCCTTTGAGCTGGAACATTGGTGTTTTTCTGACTTCAGGCTCAAACTGTAATACTGGCTCTTCTCAGGCCTTGAGCCCACTTGCCTTCAGATTGGAACTTTACCATCCGCTCTCCGGCTTCTCAGGCCTTCAGGGAAGACTAGAACTATACCACTGACTCTCCTGGTCTCCAGTTTTCCAACTTCAAATCTTGGGATTTAGTCTCCATAATCATGTGAGTCAATTCTTTATAATAAACCTCCAGATGGATGATTTATAGATAGATAGATAGATAGATAGATAGATAGATAGATAGATAGATCTTTCATTGCTTTTTTTTCTCTGGAGAACCCTAATATAACCAGTATTTAGTAAATGTTTAATATGTGTTGAATGACAATTATAGAGGAAATCAGAGGTGGAGAGGATGTATGCAGAGGGAGCTGTGAGAAGTGGAGAGCTGCCCACACTAACCAGTGAGACTAAAAACCCAGCCAAGTTCTTCAGTGAGATTGCTTTGGTAGCTATGGGAATAATATGGACAAGCGAGTCATCTGAATTCTTGATGGGCAGAGATGCCACGCTGGCAAGCAGGTGGTCAACCTCTAGGAGATTCAACAAGCATGCCTGTGAGGGTTCAGAGCGCTGTGTCAGGAATGTGATGGGAAGTAATAGGCAAAGGCAAAATATTACTGATATTAACGAAATGGCATTAAAGAAAACAGACACTTCACTGTCTACTTGTGTTAGAGCTTCCCCAAGGTCATTTAATCTAACACACCTGTAAGCTAAGTGTTCCTACTTTTTCAGAAAAAGAAATGGAAACTAAGCAATATTAATTAACATAGTCCAAGGTCACAAAGCAAAATGGAACAAGAACCTGGATCTGAATTCAGAGGCAAGATGCTGGGTAAGTATGACAGTACTTATTGTTGGCCCACCTGTGGGAATTGGGGAATAGGGACAGGTCTCCCAACCCTGTGATGACTATAGAAACCGGGATTCAAGGGAGATACAGGCATAAAGGAAAATGTCAGAGAGACCATCAACAAAGTATCTTGTAAGGCAGGAATTTGCTCACAGGAAAATGGGAAGGTTAAAGGGGATGTTAGTGAGAATGTCATTTTAATATTCAGTTCACTAATCTCCAAAGACCCATGTTCTAAAAGTGTGAATAAAATAGCTTAATATCTTATTATGCAATATCTGTCACTGATAGGCACATAAGGAGCTCTCATTACATCTACTTAATTTGCCAGATTAACTGATGCTTTTTGTTCCTTTTTTACTTTTTCTTTTTAGAGATAGGGTCTTGTTCTGTCGCCCAGGCTTGGGTGCAATGGCATGATCATAGCTCACGGCAGCCTCGAACTCCTGGGGTCCAGTGATTCTCCTGCCTCAGCGTCCCTTGTAATTGGACTACAGGTACAAATCACCATGTCTGGCTCTTGTTCTTTAACACATGCTCGTAGCTCAAAACTAGTAGAATTCCCTCTGATACATTTGTGAACCTCTGCTTCCACTACAAGTTTCATGCTACTGGAGTCAGTTGCCTTTTTCTCAAACCTGCTTATACCAATTAAACTTGTTACTGAAATTAATTAGTTAAATATGTAAACCAGTGAAATATGAAACAAAAGTCAGTCACTAAAGAAATTACTGTACAATTAAGTGTAAGCAAAACAACTCCAAAAGCCTCGAAAAAGTGAGTAGAAATCTACAGATATTTTGCTGACAAATGAAATACATTTGTAGTTTAAGTTAAAATTTAAAATTAAAGATATATATATCATTTTTAAATTTCTCTATTTAAATTGACATTTTCCCTTCACCAATCACAATACCAGTGTTGGATAAGGGAACTTTCACTATATCCTGTGTTGTATTTTGTATGGTATTTCTGATCATTCTTTTAATAAAAACACAATCTATCTAGAAAAGCAAAAATAAAGACTGAAATCCACATTCTTTTAGCACTTTCATGTGAATCCTCAATACTGCATCTAATACTACATATCTTCTTAAACTGTTCCTCTAAATCTTAGGGAGAATGTGATTGTTACATCCTAAAGTTTGTGTCATGAACATTTGTGGCTCACTTGTATTCACAAGATTATGAGGAATTATGCATTTAGGAGCAGGTTAGGTTATCATCATCATTGTTTTTTCATGATAAGCCAATGTGTACAGCATGTTAATAGTCTTCTCTGTAAGGAATCTTAGAAATAATTGAGTGCACTTCTCTAGTATTAAAAATGAGTAAATGGACAGGCAGAGTGGTGTGCACTTTTAGTCTCAGCTACTCAGGAGGCTGAGACAGGAGAACTGATTGAGCACAAGAGTTCTGGGCTATAGTGTGCTATGTCAAGCGGGTGTCTGCACTGTTTGGCATTAATATGGTAACTTCTTGGGACAGGGAACCACCAGGTTTCCTAAGGAGGGGTGAAACGGTCCAATCTGGAAATGGAGCAGGTCAAAATTCCCATGCTGATCTGTAGTGGGATGGCACCTGTGAATAGCCACTGCCCTCCAGCCTGGGCAACATAGCAAGACCCCATCTGTCTCTAACTTTTAAAAATGAGTAAACTGAGAACTAGGGTTAAAGAAACTTGCCCAAGGTAGAAATTTATTGAAATAAAATTAAGGGAAATGTTTATATAGCCCTTAACATTATGTCTTCTCCGTGATATATAACACTTTAAATCCAAGGATCTCAAAACACTTTTAAATCAGATCATTAATTCTTCTGATATCTATGTATCAAATTATTCTATTTTCTACCAGCTGGGTTATCTCTTGTCAGACACTAATTTAAAAGTCAACATTTTCTTTGCAGATGAATCAATTGAGAGTTGCATTCATCTGGGAATAACAAGGGTTCACCTGAAAAACAAGGGTTATTTTTATCACATATGTCTGAGGTAGTCAGTCCAGGCCTCATCTGTCCACTGTGTACTTCATAATGTCATCAGGAACATTAAGCTTTCTGTTTTCTTGTTCAGTCATTCTCAATATGTGCTTGTCAACTCATAATTACCTAATTCACCTCAAGTATTGTAGATTTGGTTTGGTAGAAGTAATAGGAAGGAGAAAAGAAAGCATACGAGCTGAGCTGGCCTTCCTTAAAAAAGAGATTTTCTGGCTCATGCCTGTAACCCCAGCACTTTGGGGAGGCCAAGGCGGTTGGATTGCCTGAGGTCAGGAGTTCGAGACTAGCCTGACCGACATGGTGAAAACCTCATCTCTACTAAACATACAAAAATTAGCCGGGTGTAGCAGTGGGTGCCTGTAATCCCAGCTACTTGGGAGGCTGAGGCAGGAGAATCGCTTGAACCCAGGACGCAGAGGTTGCAGTGAGCCGAGACCGGGTCATTGCACTCTAGTCTGGGCAATAAGAGCAAAACTTTGTCTCAAAAAAAAGAAGAGAGATTTTTCTAGAACTGTGTCTAAGTGGCCAATTATTGATCTGATTGGCCAACTATATCACATGGGCAATTCTATTTGCACAGGAGGCTGGGAAATGTAGTTTTTGGCTGCACATATGGCCACTTCCAACCAAACTCAGGGAATTAGTAAGGAAGGAGAGGATAGGTGTTGAGTGGGAGTGGGACTGACGGGTGATCTCTGTCACTGCAGGGCTGTTGCCAAGATTAGAAAGAATGTATGGGTGGTTCCTGGCTTATACCTGTCATCTAGTAGATGCTGAAAAATGGGGAGCTCTTATTGTGTTAGAAAAGATAAGTGATAATGTTTCCAAATTTCTTTCATAGTAATTGTGCAGTGTTTTCATACATGCAATGAATCCAATGTGGTAATAAGATAACTTTTAGCAGAAGAACAAATTTTTATGAAACTGCCATTTGGCACTAAAATACTGGTACTACAACTTTTAAAACTAATATGATTAACCAGATTATCATTTGGACAATGGATAATGAATGTGCACTATAGTCTCAAAAATTAAAAAATATAAGTAACTTTTTCTTCTACTTGTGTTTTATGAGTTGGAAAATATTTGTTTATTGTACATCATGGATGCACCACATGTACAACTGTTCCATAAGATTATAACGGAGCTGAAAAATTCTTAGGCCTAGTGACATCAGTTGTAATGTCAGAGCACAACAGCTTACTCATATGTTTGTGGTGATAAATTGGTATAAACAAACCTACTATACTGCCAGTCATATAAAAGTAAAGTACATACAGTTATGTGCAGTACATAATACTTGACCATTAATGACTGTTACTGGTTTATATATTTAGTATATTAAACTTTTTACCATTATTTTAGAGTATGTTCCTCTATAAAAAAAAGGGTTAACTGTAAAATAACCTCAGGCAGCTCCTGCAGGAGGTATCCAAAGGCATTGTTATGGTGGGAGACGACAGCTCCATGCCTGTTATTGCCTCTGAAGACCATGCAGGACACCATGTGGAGATGGAAGATGATGACATTCAGGATCCTGACCTTGTGCTGGCCTAGGCTAATGTGTGTGTCTGTGTCTTAGTTTTTAGCAACAAGTTTATAAAGTAAATAAATAGAAAATAGCATATAGAATACGGCTATAAAGAAGGGAAATATTTTTGTACAGGGATACAATGTGTGTGTGTTTGTTTTTTCTTTTGGGGAGTTTGTTTTGTTTTGTTTTTTGAGACAGGATCTCACTCTGGTTGCCCAGGCAGATGTAGTGCCATCACACCTCACTGTAGCCTCAATTTCCTGGGCTCAGGTGATTCTTCCACCTCAGCCTGCCGAGTAGTTGGGACTACAGGCATGCACCACCATGCCTAGCTAATTTTTTGTATGTTTAGGAGAGACAGGGTTTCACCATGTTGCCCAGGGTGGTCTTGAACTCCTGGACTCAAGCAATCCGCCTGCCTCAGCTTCCCAAAGTGCTGGGATTGCAGGTATGAGCCACTGCATCCAGCTGTGTGTGTATGTGTGTTGGTTTGTTTTTTCTTTTTTCTTTTTTTTTGAGACACAGTCTCACTCTGTCACCAAGCTGGAGTGCAGTGGCATGATCTCAGCTCACTGCAACCTCTGCCTCCCGGGTTCAAACTATTCTCCTGCCTCAGCCTCCTGAGTAGCTGGGACTACAGGTGCAAGCCACCACCCCCAGCTAATTTTTGTATTTCTAGTAGAGACGGGGTTGTACCATCTTAGCCAGGATGGTCTCGGTCTCCTGACCTCCTGATCCGCCCGCCTCGGTCTTCCAAAGTGCTGGGATTACAGGCGTGAGACACCAAGCCTGGCCATGTGATTTAATCTAAGTGTTATTACAGGCGAGTCAAAAAGTTAAAAAAGCCTGGGCACAGTGGCTCACGTCTGTAATCCTAGCTCTTTGGGAGGCTGAGGCAGGTGGATCACCTGAGGTTACGAATTTAAGACCAGCCTGGCCAACATGGTGAAACCCCGTCTCTACTAAAAATACAAAAAAATTAGCTGGGCGTGGTGGCTCACGCCTGTAATCCCAGCACTTTGGGAGGCTGAGGCAGGCGGATCAGGAAGTCAGGAGATCCACACCATCCTGGCTAACACAGTGAAACCCCGTCTCTACTAAAAATACAAACAATTAGCCAGGAATGGTGGTGAGCGCCTGTAGTTCCAGCTACTCGGGAGGCTGAGGCAGGAGAATCGCTTTAAACCTGGGAATTGGAGGTTGCTGTGAGTGGAGATTGCGCCACTGCACTCCAGCCTGGACAACACAGTGAATCTGTCTAAAAAAAAAAAAAAAGCGGGTGCACCCAAGATAGCCGAATAGAAACAGCTCCAGCCTCCAGCTCCCAGTGTGAGGTGATTTCTGCATTTTCAACTGAGATACCAGGTTCATCTCACTGGGGAGTGCTGGACAATCGGTGCTGGTCAGCTGGTGCAGCCTGACCAGCGACAGCTGAAGTAGGGCGAGGCATCACCTCACCTGGGAAGTGCAAGGGGGAAGGGAATCCCTTTTCCTAGCCAAGAGAAACTGAGACACACAACACCTGGAAAATCTGGTAACTCCCACCCTAATACTACGCTTTACCAAGTGTCTTAGCAAACGGCACACCAGGAGATTATATCCCACACCTGGCCCAGAGGGTCCCACGCCCACGGAGCCTCCATCATTGCTAGCACAACAGTCTGAGATCTAACTGCAAGGCGGCAGCGAGGCTGGGGGAGGGGCGCCCGCCATTGCTGAGTCTTAAGTGGGTAAACAAAGCTGCTGGGAGGCTTGAATTGGGTGGAGCCCACTGCAGCTCAAGGAGGCCGGCCTGCCTCTGTAGACTACTCCTCTGGGGACAGGGCATAGCTAAACAAAAAGCAGCAGAAACATTGGCAGAGGTAAATGCCCCTGTCTGACAGCTTTGAAGAGAGCAGTGGATCTCTCAGCACGGAGGCTGAGATCTGAGAACGGACAGACTGCCTGCTCAAGTGGGTCCCTGACCCCTGAGTAGCCTAACTCATCCCCCACTAGGTACAGACTGACACCTCACACCTCACATGGTGGGGTAAACCCCTGAGACGAAGCTTCCAGAGCAAAAATCAGCAACACTCGCTGTTCAGCAACTATCTTCTGCAGCCTCCATTGCTGATATCCAGGCAAACAGGGTCTGGAGTGGACCTCAGGCAAACTCCAACAGACCTATAGCTGAGGGTCCTGACTGTTAGAAGGAAAACTAACAAACAGAAAGGACACCAACACCAAAACCCCATCAGTACATCACCATCATCAAAGACCAAAGGCAGATAAAACCACAAAGATGGGGAAAAAGGAGTGCAGAAAAGCTGGAAATTCAAACAATCAGAGTGCATCTCCCCCTCTAAAGGAATGCAGCTCATCGCCAGCAATGGAACAAAGCTGGACAGAGAATGACTTTGACGAGCTAAGAGAAGAAGGCTTCAGTCGATCAAATTTCTCAGAGCTAAAGGAGGAACTACGTAACCAGCGCAAAGAAACTAAAAACCTTGAAAAAAGAATGGATGAATGGATAACTAGAATAATCAATGCAGAGAAGGCCTTAAAAGAACTGATAGAGATGAAAACCATAACAAAGAAATACATGACAAATGCACAAGCTTCAATAACTGACTCGATAAACTGGAAGAAAGAGTATCAGCGATTGAAGATCAGATGAATGAAATGAAGCAAGAAGAGAAGTGTGGAGAAAAAAAGAGTAAAAAGAAATGAACAAAGCCTCCAAGAAGTATGGGATTATGTGAAAAGACCAAATCTACGTCTGATTGGTGTACCTGAAACTGACGGGGAAAATGGAACCAAGTTGGAAAACACTCTACAGGATATCATCATCCAGGAGAACTTCCCCAACTTAGTAAGGCAGGCCAACATCCAAATTCAGGAAATACAGAGAACGCCACAAAGATACTCCTCGAGAAGAGCAACTCCAAGACACATAATTGTCAGATTCACCAAAGTTGAAATGAAGGAAAAAATGTTAAGGGCAACCAGAGAGAAAGGTCAGGTTACACACAAAGGGAAGCCAATTAGACTAACAGCAGATTTCTCAGCAGAAACTCTCCAAGCCAGAAGAGACTGGGGGCCAATATTCAACATTGTTAAAGAAAAGAATTTTCAACCCAGAATTTCATATCCAGCCAAACTAAGTTTCATAAGTGAAGGAGAAATAAAATCCTTTATAGACAAGCAAATGCTTAGAGATTTTGTCACCACCAGGCCTGCCCTACAAGAGATCCTGAAGGAAGCACTAAACATGGAAAGGAACAACAGGTACCAGCCATTGCAAAAACATGTCAGAATGTAAAGTCCATCAATGCTAGGAAGAAACTGCATCAACTAGCAAGCAAAATAACCAGCTAATACCATAATGACAGGATCAAGTTCACACATAACAATATTAACCTTAAATGTAAATGGACTAAATGGTCCAATTAAAAGACGCAGACTGGCAAATTGAATAGAGTCAAGACCCATCAGTTTGCTGTATTCAGGAGACCCATCTCACATGCAGAGACACACATAGGCTCAAAATAAAGGGATGGAGGAAGATCTACCAAGCAAATGGAAAACAAAAAAAAAGCAGGGGTTACAATCCTAGTCTCTGATAAAGCAGACTTTAAACCATCAAAGATCAAAAGAGACAAAGAAGGCCACTACATAATGGTAAAGGGATCAATTCATCAGGAAGAGCTAACTATTCTAAATACATATGCACCAAATACAGGAGCACCAAGATTCATAAAGCAA